TTTGTTGATAAATAAATATACAAATATAAGCTCTTTGTAAAGAGGTCTCAAATTATTTCAGTGTGAAAAAATCTGGTTGCTTCTACGTTAGAATATTGAATTAAAACAATCTATAGCTTTATGTGCTAATCACAGAAACAACCTGATAAACACAAGTGAACTCTAGCAGAACTTGCAAGAATTAATAAACTCCAGACAAATGTAAGAGATACTATTAAGAACCCAAGAAATCAAAGAACAATGTGGATGGCCAAAATAGCAGCTTATTAATTTTATGCACACATTCCACTTTGTTATCTTTATCAAATTCTGTCACCCAACAAACTCTGGCTATGTTGCAAATTTAGACTATTTAAAAAACTCAAAAACCAAAAACTCATAGGCATCTATAAGCTGCAATGGAGTTAAAGTAGTTATTGACCAATTTTATTTAAGGTTTCTACCTTTATTTCTTACATAAACTTGGAAACACATGCAGCACATATATACGACATAGTTAACTTATCAAAATAAATAGTGAATAAAATGTTTTAAAAAAACTTTTGCAAAAGGAATCATTGACCCATAAAAGTATAGTGATATAAGACAATATACTTTATTAAATAACACAAATGTCTATGTCATAAAAACAGACTATTATGCCAATAGCACATTATAAAATAGGAAAGCAATGTCTTAAAATATTAAAAGAGAATATAAAATTAACCTGTAAAGAAACACTAAGATTTTTTTAATAAAATGAAAACTGGATGCTTAAAGAAGTATCATTTAAGCCTCTAGTAAACACTGTACACAATTACACTACAGGGCATAAAGGAATCCCAATTATAAGATAAAAGCAAACCTGATTAATTAGATTCTTACTAAATGCAACTTCCTAGGCATCAGATTAATAAAGAATATAGTTGTAAATAACAAGTAGCTTTATATACGGTCTTTTACACATTAATTAAAATGCAGTGACCAAATAAACGTAGTCTATATGTATGTAAATACTTACTTAGTACATGATTAAGAATAGCACCCTAAACAAAGAAGAGGGAAAAATGATTTATCTTTATATGTGCTATGATCCATATAACAAGCAATTAAGTCAGGTGTTTACCTGACTACTGAGAATATGCAAACAAGTAAAAAGCAGCAGCTGATTTATTTCGTCTTACACCTAAGAGACAGGCCTGAAGTCAGTGTTCCAAAGGGTTTCTTTAGCATCTCTAATTTCTAATGGATAATTGTATTAGAGGAATAAACTAAAACTACTTTTTAAAACTTAACTGAAAAAATTAAGTGCATCTCCTATGCAAATAATTCATAGCCACTTATAAGCTAAACTTGAGAAAGAAGCAAAATCCGTAACATAGACTTGAACAAGGGAATACACTTTTATGATCAAGTTGATTGTGATAATCACACTATTTTTCATGCCAATGGAACATTTTACTTATAGACCCTTAAGCTTACATAAAGCAAAACAATAAATGGACTCTGAAAATATAGACTATGATGTCTGTCCCCTTAAAAACAAATTATCCAGATAGTGTGTTGAATTTTCCAACTTTTTCACTTCTGTGTAAAAATTCCACACAAGAACGTTCAAGAATATTAGTCTTGAATATTATCATTACTTAACTAAAAATCTCACTAACATCTCAAACATCTATGCAAATCTATTAACAGGTAGTGATTATTTCATTGAATAGTGGCCAATAATTTCAATTAAACATCTTAATAGATGGAGAAAATACAAATTGTGGTCAATAAGTTACAAATAATACAAGCTTGCACAAAATTCTACATTCTACCGTACTGAATAACATTTAGTATCAATCAGTACAATATATTATTCCTTGTAATTTACAACAATTTTAGCGCAAATTACCTACATGACCTACATGAACACTTTCTATACAAAATAATTAGAAAATGTCTTTTAATTGTTTCACAAATATAAGACTAATGTGGAGGACTTGAACCTATTTCATTAATACCACTATAGATTTCTCTATCAGCCAATAATAAATGAATTAGTAAGAAAGACAAAAATACTCTTTACACATAAAAGTACACATAAAAATTAATTTTAAAAAATTGGAAACTTATTGGAATCCAAACCTATATTTAATAGTCACTTCAAGAGTGGGATCAGTTCAGTTAGCTATGTCTGCAGCAGCCAGATTACGATTAAATGGGAAACAAAAAAATGAAAGATGAGACAAAATAATTCATATAAAAATACCCAATAAAGTCAAGTACCTCTCCACAGCATGAGGCAAGGATCAGACATTTCCATACCTGAAACACGTCTGCTTTGTTCTTTAATAAACTGATCTCCATCTGCTCATGCCCTTGGAAATTTTTCAACAGTATAACCTGCTGTGCTCAAGCTCCAAGTAACTTTGTATTTCCTTGTTCATAATTAACTAATTATGTTCTAATCAATAGGGTAGATCCTGATTTTACAATGTAAATCAGATAAATGAGATAATTGCTGGGAGTCAATCTCATTTTATTTACAAAGCCCAGCATGTGCCTCCAATTTCATTACATTTTATGTACCTGAACAGCAGTGAATCTTATCAGCAGGCCTAAAGAAAGCCTTACAGTGGCCGGGCGCGGTGGCTCAAGCCTGTAATCCCAACACTTTGGGAGGCCGAGGCAGGTGATCACGAGGTCAAGAGATCGAGAGGTCAAGAGATCGAGACTATCCTGGTCAACATGGTGAAACCCCGTCTCTATTAAAAATACAAAAAATTAGCTGGGCATGGTGGCACGTGCCTGTAATCCCAGCTACTCAGGAGGCTGAGGCAGGAGAATTGCCTGAACCCAGGAGGTAGAGGTTGCAGTGAGCCAAGATCTGCCATTGCACTCCAGCCTGGGTAACAAGAGTGAAACTCCGTCTCAAAAAAAAAAAAAAAAAAAAAAAAAAAGCCTTACAGTGAGCACTATGAGAAAGAGGCTTCCATTTTTATAGAGAAACATTTGCAAAGTATACCTATCTTAGAAATCACAATCCTTAATTTTATGTAAACTTACAAAGTGCTCATTCAGACAAGTAGAAAAATGATTCTGCCTTCATATGTCATGAAGTTCCAAGTTGAGTCTCTTAAACAAGTTTCAACTGCCGTGTTAAAATGTAAAAAAAAATTAATAATGTAAATATTCTACTCTGCAGGAGAGTCCTTCTGAATTCCTTGAATAGATTTTAGTGAAATATTCATAAAATATTCTCATATTGAGAATCAAGTAAAATAGTGGTGAGTTTTATGAAATATGTAACTTTGTTTAAAAACTGGTTTCCATTAAGTAATAGGATGTGAATACAGGGAAATAGAACAGAGTGTAAATATTTTTATTGTTTATTGGTCAGCAGTCTATTTTTAACATAAATATAAAATCGAATGAACACTCACGCAACAATGAATGACAATGATTTGTAAAAAATGCATAAATATAATTTCTAAAGTTAAGATAGATAAAGGCTAAGTTTTGTTTTCATGTTCAAACCTAATCTTAATTTCAAGTCTTTATAACAAAAGGGTTAGTGAATTGTGAACACAGGCTATGTTTATTGATTTCTTTCTGTATCTAAAATACTGCTGTTTCCATAGTCAGTGTAAAACAAACATTTATTTAAATTTATAAAATAAAAAAATGCATGTGTTGAAGATGGAATTACTAATTTCTAGAAGAAATTAGAGGAATCTAGAGGAAATCTAAGGGCCCTTTTAAGGAGATTTAAAAAGCACACTCCTTTGTCAATCAATGTTGAGCACAACACGATTTAAAAAAAAAAAAAATACTACCTAAAAATGGTTCTTAATGTGGTGTTCCAGGCCAGCAGCATCACCATCACCTGCGAATTTGCTAGAACTGCAAATTTTCTACTAAATCAGAAACTCAGGGGGAATGAGAAGGGAGTAATGTGGGTGGAGGGAGGATTTGGAGAGCAACAGGGTAGTCACCTGTGTTTTAACAAATTTTCCTGTGATTCTGATGCACAAAGTTCTAAGAACCACTACTTACTATTGTCATTCTTCTTGTATTTCAGAGACTTTCATTTCCTTCCTCATATGTTAATGTTTCTTCCTTTCCCTACTGTGTGATAAACAACCATCATTTACCTGATGTGCCATTATGTTTGACCATGAAATATGAATCACTTACTACGTATTTTCTTAAGCACATTATCAATTTTCTCCTTATAGCAGTTGGACCAATTACGGACAGGGAATAATTTTATGCTGTGGCTATAAGTGCATTTAAGAGATTATCCGGAGAAAGCACGCTGTTCTAGTTACTTCAAAAGTTCTCTTATTTCAACTTACTTTTTGCAAGGTCTATATCTTATGAATTTTGCAATTTTTATGTAAAACACATGACAAAGATTCTTAAGACTAGCACTAGCACCAAATGTTGAGTAGCATATCCACCACCACCAAAAACGCAAGATGGAGAATAATACAGTATTCTACTTAGAAACAAAGTGAAAGGGATTTTGATTAACAGTGATAACAAAACAAGGCCTAACGATTTTTCAAAAAACCTAAAATAAAGTAACTGCTAGTAATTTCTCACTAAACATTTAAAAAGGGCACGGTCTAATATATTAGTATATTCCACTTAGAAAGTGGCAATCTGTCGTTTCACTTAAAATCATTCAGAGTTCAGCAAAAGTAATAATTACCAACATTTCCTTAAGCTTATATAGTGATAACTAGTCTTATTCTTTAAAAAAAAAAAAAAAGTCTACTAGTTTTGCTAAAGATTATGAATATTTTCCCCCCAATGTTAGGAGATCCTTCAATAAGTTAATAATCTGTTTATATGTAATTTCACACACATTTTTTGTAATCAAACATTTCATCCAATCATAGGGTTCCTCACTGTAACTAGATTACTGGATTACAGCTGCTTTACAATTACAATTGCTTTTGATAATAACATCACCTACTCTATTCCTAAAGTTTAAACTATTTTCCACTGTCACTGTACCCAAAAATATGTCCAAAACCACATTTATTCATCAGAAAATTCAAAATTACATGTTGACAATTTACATGTATATGTGCATTTCAATTTCAGCAGAGTCTCTAAGTCAGTTCAAGATTGAGTGATGAAATACTCAACATATTTCTGCCGTTGACTTAAAACTGGATCATTAAAGCTTGAAGATCAAATTTTAATTCAGTATACCTCTGGAAAGATACAGATGTTGATGAAGATCTTTCTTTCGGCTGGTAGGTTGTATAGTCAATAATCTTTGTATCTCCCTCCTTATTTCCTAAGTTCATATTTAAGGTTGAGAAAAATAAAATTATACTGAACACAGAAAGTTTATATTAAAACAATAAGGACTGAATATATTTGGGGATTACTAGAAAATATCTAGAGATCAACACAGATATATTTTTATTCATGAGCTTAAAATCTGAAACTGTAAAAATTTCATGCTAATATTATTAATGATTTCACACTAGGACTAATAAGTCAAAAATAGAATGTCATATGTTTCACAAGTCTTTCACTTTTGCTGAATACTATAAATAGAAATAACGTCCAATATAAGAGTCTCTAGTTGTTTTACAATGCAGTACTTCATATATGAATCTATGTATTAAGTTGAAGGAAACAGAATAGCAGATTAATGGAATGCATTGTCTTTCTTGTTTGTTACTTGTATTGTTCAACAACAGGAAGTAGCATATTGTATTTAATAAGTCCCACAGGCTTTAGTAACTCTTGAGTAAGTCCAAACACTGTGTATCATCATTTGCCAAAGAAGCAAGAGGGAAAGACATTACTTTATAGGACAATTCTGATAAGACATGTATCCAGTTTTTTTCAACAATGCACATATCAAATGTTTCTGATGAGTGCAAAAAAGAAGAAAATAGGAAAAAAAAAATCCACACAGGCAAATCTATTGCCTTGTTATTCCAAGTAACAAACCAATCAATTATATGCTATCCAAACCTGACAAGCAAAAGGCAACTTTTTGCAGTGATAAGCTTATAGAAAGGACAAGATAGCTGTTCTCCTTTACTTTATGTACTCTATTGAGAGTTTAATCCACATTTTTAAAATCACACTTATAAAAGAGGTTTCCGGGATTGCCTCCGTGGATGAGCTGTGGCAGAGTTGGGTCTCATGAAGGGTATCTACACAGTAAAGTGATAAGAAAAGAACATTAACATTTAAAGATCATAGCAGCTCTGCACTGTCTTATGAAACATACTAACAAACCACAGTAGATTCAAATAACATATGATCTGGTCCAAAGAGACAGATACCCTAAACCTAAATGCCATGATCTTGTGTAGGTTCCTATTGGTTAAAATGGAACTATTTTTATCATTTGAAACACTGAGTTGCCTCCTCTTGTATTATTATTATTATTTTGGGTTGTCAAAGCTATATTTCTAAAGCAAAAACTATATATATATTAAAATGATGAAGTACTTATATTTATAAAAGGAAACATTTGATCAATAAATGTTTTTTAAAAATTGCAATTTGCTATTTTTCCATCAAATATGGCAATTTGACATTGCTTGAGAAAGCATGCAACTGTGCTGAAAACAAGCACATCTAATCAGTATGTGACAGTGATGGTTATACTCAAATACAGAGTCTCAAGGAGGAAATTTTCAAATAATTGTTATCCTTTGTGCCTATGCTGACTTTCTTTTAAAAAGACTATTTAGAAATATGTTAGGTTACAATTATTTGTTACTTTTGTGTCTTTATTTCCAGAGGACAAATTTTGGTGATTAGAAGTAAAATTTTTTGACTGGGGTAAACATAAAAATTAATCCTTTCCTTCAAACATTTAGATCTGTGAAGATGAAGTAAAAATGCCAAGTAGTCACACATCAGAGAAAAAGTTCATTTTTTAATATTAACAATTGGAGAGATGTGTTTAATGCTTCCAGGTTCCATTGACAAAAAGAAAGTGAAAAGTGGCACACAGACAAATAAGGCGTTACTGAGGAGAGCCATCATGCCAAATTGAATAACCTCCAAAGAAAGTAAAAACAAAATTGTAACCCGCCCCCCCTAAAAGAATACAAATGTGAAACATAGTTTTCAAAGAAATAACGTATTTATTTACACATGAGAAATAATAGAGTTGAATTCGCTTGTTAAATAGTAAGGTCACACATGCTAACTTTTTTCAGTGCTTCAGTCTCTAAGTGAAGAGCTTTTGAGCACATTCTGAATCTGATATTCTGAGAATTGTTTTGTCTGTAGTTTACTATTGGAAAAGTACAATGCAAGAGGAAGCAACCATATCATTTATAATAGTAACACAATTAACTCTAAATTACATGCACAAATAATGGAGAAGACAACTGAAAATACACATTTATATTTGACTTTGAAATGCATCTGAATATAGACACATCAGATATCATGGAAATTTGCTTTAAACCCCAATTAAATACAAATTGGTAAGCCAAGTTTGACAAAAACTAAAGAGCTATTGCTAATATCCCTAAATATCCTAAACTTCATTTAATATTCCAAATTTCCCTTAAAACTAGAATAAGTAGCATGACTTGTCTTGGCTCTTATCTTCCCAGGACAAAAAACTGCACAGTATTTCAAATCAAAGATCAAGTTTGGGCATTGTACTTATTTCATATGCAGCTAGTAAGCAAATTATTGCAGGAAAAAAATTATCTTCTAAGGACTTCACTGATGCACACACCAGTAACTATCAATATATTTTATATCTTATATAGTTGGAATTACCTGTCAAGAGGAAGTATCTACTTCTCTTGCCCCAACAAAGTCAAGTATGCTAAAGCAGTGTAGTGCAGTGAGGCAGTATGCCTAATGATTAGTGCATGAACTGTATGGTTAAGACTGCCTAGACTCAAATTCCAATTCCACCATTTTCCTGTTGTATAATCTTGGGTAAGTAATTCTTCTCATTTTCCTCACCTATAAAATAGTAATGAAATCATTATCTATTTTATGCAGTTGTGAGGATTAAATGAGATAAAATGTGGAAAGCACTAGCACAATGACTGGCATATAAGCCCTCAACAAATCTTGGCAACTAATGTGAAGGCCAGTAGATTACATAATACACTATGGTAGTATTTTTCTGGAAGGAAAGAAATTATATTCTAATACACAGCTTAATTTACATTATATAATTTAAATATATAATTGGATCAATTTCTATTTCATGTTGCTTAGTGTCTATGTACCCCAGTTACCTCACTCTAAAATGGAGATATGTATACCTCATAGGATTGCTGTAAGAACTGAATGTGATAATAGAGCCAAAGATCAGAAAACATAGCCTGGGACACGGTAAACATTATGGTTACTGTAATTCCCAGGCCAAAATGACTTTAAAATAACATTTCGCTGGGGAAATCTATCAAATTTCGAAATTTGTATCCAGTCTTATTTTCAAATTCATTTCACCTCGTTTCATTATTATGTCTATTTCAAATGTCTATTTCATTTGTCCAAAAAATATAAAATCAATACAAATAAAAACCTTGCTATAAAAGTAACAGATGAAACAGAATACTTAATTTAAAAATAAAAGAAAAATCGGAAACAATATAGCTGGCTTCTCAACTAGTAGTTGGATTATACTTGTTTTGTATGACTCCAAGGGTTGAAATTTTTAAGTAAAGACATCATCAGCTTACTTAAAGAAATTGTCAATAGTCAATTGCCAATAATTCCTGCCAAGAGGGAGAAAGGGGCTTACAGTTCTATCCCTGACAAAGCTTGTTTCCTGCTGCTTAGTAGTGAGTCTAGGCAGATAAATCAAGTGTTAGAGGAATGGTGAGATTACAGACTTTATGATTTTTTTTGAAACTGTATATTTGTTTTGAAATCTCAGTTATATAATTTGAGAAAAAATAAAGTTAGTGCCTTCACGTTAAAGACAATGACCTTAGAGGTAACTTGATTCAAGGTCATTAATCTAGTCAATAGCAGAACTGTGGTGAGAGTCTCAGTCTTTCTGAATGATTAGGTATGTATGTAATATATAATCCTTCCCTTGTATAATTTAACAATATTAACACATTGCAATGGAAGATAAGTTAAAACTGCCAAAACAAATCTTACAGAAACAAATGTATAAAACGAGAAATATTTCACTGCTATACGTGCTTGAAATTATAATGTTTTTTACTCTAAAATTGTGTACTCCATAAATACCACACTTCACTATGTAATATATATGACATTCAGGCTTCTGTTTTCTTTAAATACAAATTACTTGAATATACTACATCTATTAAAAACTTTTTTCAAAATTTAAAAATCCAAACATTAGTAACATAAACCAAAAATATTTATGAATAATACAAAGGCACTTAAAGGTCTGATATTCTAATACAGATTTTAATGTCAAAGAATGTGATACAATAAATACTAAACGTGTTAGGCAGGTTAGCCATTCTACATGTCTAACAAAATCAGCAAATCAACTTAATTATAGAAAAAATATACTAAGTAAACATCTTTTAATTTAAATTTTATCAGAATACTACCTTAATAAGAAAAATTCAGTGGCAGCTGGGCTACATTCATTATCTAAAAATAAATATTTTGAAAATTAAACTTCTCTTCCCCAATTTTTACCAATAGAAAAGCATTTTTGAAAAGAACTTTTAAAAGTTATAGCACAAAATTGACAATTTTCTAATTCCTTCCTTAGAATCTAATATCTTCATGACATACAATGAAGCATCATTTGAAGTCTAAAGATATTTATCTTAAATCACTGATCCCTGCTTTTTATAAACCAAGGTCTAAAGCAAAAAGAAAAGATTCTTAGTGACAGAGATGGCCAAGTAACTTTTATGAACAAGAATGCAAAGCATTTAATTTTCAATCTTAGACTGATCTGTGTATAAGGCCTCTGTTAACCTAAATTGCTCAGCAAACATCTAAGACAGCCTTGGAATAATGGTATTTAGAGAATAAAGTAAAGAACAGTAGGGTGCTGAGGGGAATAAAGAAGAAAGAGAACACATGCCCTGCTCTGGATATTAGTGAGGACAATGGTGGACTTTCCACAATGACAGGAGTTCAAGTTCTGGCCATTTTATCAGGCTAGAGGCCACAAGTTTGGAGGAAGTGAGACATAGCAGAGCTGCAGAAACCAGTTATACACTAGCAATAAAAATGAGGAGAGGCAAGGCAGACAAACTGGGATCCCAGGGAGAGATAATCAGAATTGAGAAACAGAGAAAGAAGGCAAGAGAAAACAGCAAAGAAGCTAAGGTGAACAAAATAACATGGCAGAAAATAGAGGCCAGATACTGTAAAAGGTCTCAGGGAAGTCACAGGAATGAGAAAAGAAGAGAATGGGCCAAGAAATGTTGTAATAGAAAACCGTTCCCAAAATATTCTGATATTTTCAGCTTTCAAATTATATCCAAGGCTAAATTTTAAAAAATGTTTTGAACAGAATCATTAAAAATTTTTGAAGCAAATACATTCAGATACTGTAAGACTACAGGTGATTTAAAGTTACTTTTTAAATTTTTGTATATAAGGTTTAAATGTGTTCAACAGAATCTTTAAAAATTTTTGAATTGAAGTAAATACATTGATATACTGTAAGATTATAAGTGATTTAAACTTACTTTTTATATTTTTGCATATAAATTTTTATAATGAACAAAAACTTCTAAAATAAAAAATTTTCTACTCATGGTCCTTTAACTTTTTAAAAAAGACTTCTTTAAATGAATATTTTAGATTTACAGAAAAAAATCAAGTAATACATAGATTGAGATACACTCCCTCCTACCTACACACACATACACACAAACACACACAATACACACACCCCTTCCATTAAATTTAAATGGTGAAGTCTTCATATTCCAACCATGGGCAGTTTGACAGCTCAGAGCTAGAGACACATGAAGGAGACGATAGAAGAAGGAAGAAACAAGAGTGTGTGCACTTGATTGATTCGCATGCAGTACAATGATGTTAAACAAGTTGCTGAGTTAGACAATGAACTCTGAGAATGGGAAGTGAAGGCAAACTTTCAGATGAGGATTGAACTAGCCTGAACTCTGCCTCTAGCATTAACTGTGGTAAGGGAAAGTATTCAAACAATAGCTGCATAATAACACGGTGGGGATACTGCTAATGAAGTTCA